TCAATCCACTGTGAGTGACAGGACTGAATTCTCTAATTTCAACCGCTAATTTGAGAGACATGCTTCTCCCCATATCATAACACACACTTATAAATCAAAGCACAGATGTCCGTATAGAACGTGACCATCAATCTCGATGTCTTTTTATCATTTTATCCTCTGCATGCTACTTTAGAATTACCAGGAATAGTATATTATAGTACACAGTAATGTCAAGTAAAAAGAAGCTCGTAAAACGATTAAAATCCGAGTCAGTGAGTCACCAAATATGTCATAGGGAAGATAATGGACAGCTAATGACTCATTTTTGCATCATTTTACGGAATTGAATTTGTAGAAGATAACCACTCTTTGGATCAAATAACTACATATCGATGTCAATACATTTGAATGTTCCTTTGATTTTACAGTATTAATTGGCTTGGCGCTGCCATTTCCAATGGGCTATACAGCAACTCTTGCTCTCTGTATTCGCCCCCCTTTTCAGCTTCTCTTTCTCCTCCTTCAGCGTATGTGTATGGCAGAACATTCTAAATAAGGAAAGGAAAAAGAACCAAAGAAAGAAGCTTCAGTCAGTTGACAAATTATGATTCATGTGCGCCTCTAAATGACAAACCTAAACATCAATAATTTTCTCCTCTGTAGTTAAGTTTTCAAAGCATGTAGCTGCTTCTTTTGCCCACCTTGTTTTAATATATTAAAAGGTTTGCTAATTAATTCAAAGAAAGAACCTTCTTTTATCCACCATAAGGTTTGTTTTAATATATTAATTAACTCAAGATCTTCTAGAATCGATCCAAAACCACTACATGACAAATGAGGAAATATACCTCTCTCTATGCAACAATTCCAAGCATCATCAGCACAAGGAATAGTGATTTTACATCGTCTTATGAATTATTGTTTCTTGATTTTTTTTTTTTCTTTTTTTTTTTACTTTAACTATTCAGTATTCGAAATTTATTTATTCAATTAATCCGGATACATATCCAGCGGACCAGGCAAACTTAGTCTTAATCATATGATATAATCGCAAAAAGTAAATTTAATCATTAAGCCAAATTATAAAAGTTTGAAAATTAGCAATTTATTTATTTTAAAACATTTTCAAAATACAAAAATCAGAACAGACTGATAAGATTTGTGATATGGCCCAGTTGCTATTAAGATATGGGCTTATCTCATTACTCGGTACTGTACTCTGAAAAATCCATGAGAAGACACTTTGGCAAATGGTGGCCTCATTTTATTTTTATTTTTTCTAATAATTCTATGATTGATTCTTTCTTTTTTTCCACATTATCTAGATATTCATAGCACTAGAAAGGAACATTAAACTGTTTTGCAATTAATAGAATATGATATTCCATTTTCAAATTTATTTCTCAATAATATTTTTGAGAGAAATGAGATTTTGACCAAAAAAAAAAGAATATTTTATTATTAAACCATGTTTCAAATTATTCTTATAAAAAATGAAATCTATCTATTTAAAGGATGTAATATTTTTTATCTCATTCGTATTATATTGTTTTAAAAAAAATAGTTAATAAATAATGCAATTAATAGTTAAAATGTCTCATTCTGGTATAAGAAAAAAAGGATTAAGGAAAGGGTTACTAAAAAAGAAAAGAAAAGCTTCATTAGGACGCATTAGAAGTAAAATTGTAAAGAAATGGATTTTGAGGCTTCAATTACACGCATGAGAAGAAGTAAAATGCAAATCAAAGCTGAAGAAGAAATAGGTAAACTGGTTTTCAAATATTTGTGTGTGTCATTGCACCTTTATACGGGCTAAGAAACCTTCTATTCTTCTTTAAGGCCGGCCTTAACTATCCTATTTTAATCAAGAATTACTTTCTTGGCACGGTTGAATGATTTCTTGGACGTATAATCAAGAATCAACATGTCATCATATGTTTCTTTCTACATCATTCCTATAAAACACACACACTATATATAAGTTATTCCAATTTTTAATTTTTAATTTCAGTTGTAAAAAATAAACTGATTTTATTTAAAAATCAACTAAATGGATTGGACATATTTGATATTTGATTCAATTCAGTTTTATATAAAATTTGATTTCAGTTCAATTTTTAATTTTAATTTTCAATTTTGATCAGTTTGGTTTCTAATCGAAATAGACAATTATCGCGCATACATATGTATAGATAGTATTATTAATGTAAGAAAATGTAAATATACATTATAATGTCATTTGAATTCATATTTACTGCTTGTTGAATATGAATTCAACATTTTAAGGACATGGCCGAATGGTTGATTAAAATATAGAATTATTTAATTCAAATGTAATATGACTTTCGGAAATATTTGACTATCCCAAATTCTTAGAGGCTATTTTTGGAAATTTTGAAAAATTATTCAAATCTTTGGAGACAGAGATTGCATATTTTCCTTAAAAATCAATCAATAAGTATGGATGTTTAAAATTTTAAATGGGCCATAATGGGAGAAAAGAAAATAAGGCCGCCACTTTTCTAATTTTATGATTAAATTACTATTTAATCCTCAAAATTCAGTCAAAATAATTATCACTGTTTTACTATCGCATTTCTGCCGTTTAGAAAAATCATTTATTTATATATAAATAGTAAAAAAAAAAATTATTATTTATGAAATCATTTTATAGTTTTAGAACGGAAAAGCTTTAATTAAAATGAGTCAAATGGAATGGAGAAGCAAATGGAAGAGTGCCACGTGGCAAGACGTAACGCAGAAGAATAAGATTGCTGGCGAAACCGACCAGCACCAGAAAGCAGCCCTAACCGCATAACCTACTAAATACGTCATAACGAACACGTTGATAAGTTTAACTTTGCTTAGTCCAATTGAGTCCAGTCAAATGAAACCACGTGGCCAACATAAACGTAATAAAGTTAGCCTAAACGGCGCTAGTCTTCAAATTTTGTAGAGATAAGTACAATCTTTGACGGTTGCCGCTAGTGATTAGACAGAATTCAAAAGTAATCAAGTTCATCTTTTCGAAAATTTGAGCCTATTTTACTTAATTGCTTCTAATTACAAGGATATCTCTGTAATATAGACCAGAACGACAATTAGACGAGATCACTTGAGTCTTATATAAGTTAACAACATAATTTTATTTGTTAACATTTCAGAAAAATATTAATATCATATGTATTAAACTCGAAGCATATAATATAATTAATATTTTATATTTTTAAAAGCGGAAGCAAAATCAAGATAAAAATCTGCAATTATTACTTAATCAAAGTCGAGAATTGAATTTTTGGTTGTATTGTTGCTCATATATCGAATTTTATTCTCAAATCTAGTTTTGAGTTACTGGTGTAACCGTTATGGTGATATTGTATAGAGGTATTTTGTTATTTAAACAGTTATGCAGAAAAAATGCTGATATCCTCTCTAATAGAAGAAAGAAATTTAAAATTGCTCAAATCGGACTTATACTAAAACTATAAAATCAAACAGTAGCCATAAATAACCACCAAGTGAAGCAAGCAATCGCTTATAATATTATGCCTCATCAACTCGATCAACTCGATCAGATACTTCAAATTAAGATTGTGTTTTTTTTTTTTTCTTTGTATAAGTGGTTTATTATTGGATTTCATATATAAAAATATAGAAATATATTGATGTGTATCATATATTTATACACAGTTTACTCCTGATAAAATTTCTAATTTGATTTATTCTAAAAAAAAAGTCAGAGAATTGAATTTATTAATGAAATTTCTAATTCTTTTCCTTTTCCTATAGATTTAGTTGATATTTTAAAGCATTAAGTTTTTGGGTTTCTCTATTTTATTAGTTTCACACTCAATTAGATTAAGTAGAGATCTAGATGAGGTCAAGGAAATGTGAAGTTAAGCTTTAGGTCATGGAATGAACCATGTTTAACACATACACATACAAACCCTTAATTCCTTTTTTGTTATATATTGTCGTAGAAAGATTTAACACGTTTTCATTTTATTTCTAAATTTTACACTTCGGTTTTGCTTTTAACAAATGCATTACATTTAGGACACATCCCCAATAAATAAATAAATAAAATAATAACAATAGTAAATACTTCTAAAGTGGCAAAATTTTCCCATTAAATATATTTTATATATAAAAAATATATTATAAATTTGCACCGGTTAATAGACTTGATAATATTTTGATTCAAGCGGACTGTAAAATTAATTTTGATTGTCCAGTCCATTAAGGATAGAAAAACATGTTAATAGAAATTAAAAATTTAATGGAAACTGAGAGGGATTGAATCCGGAGCAATTAGTTATTGGTTTGGCAAGTGTAAATAAGTATTTTTCGTCTATTTAAAGGACATTATGATAATTATACTGTATTTTATATGTTAATTTTCTTTTTTTTTTTTAAAAAAAAAAAAGAACAACACGTAAAAGGAAGGATATATATGCATATTCACACCATTTGATTCAATTCACAATGGATAATTAGAGGCTGGGTTAGCCATGTTTATTGTTTAAATAGATTGTATTATTGAAATAACGATTAAATGCAATGTATTTTCCTAACAAATGGACAATTTAACTATTATTCTGTTATGTTATTTCCATTGGAAATATATTTATCTATTAACATGCACATTTCCTACTATAAATGGAAAATTTTAATTTCATTTTCAAGAAATAATAATAATATTTCCTAATTACAAAATAAGTAAAGTCCAAAGAGCCTTATTTGCAAATTCCTAAGACTTTGATGGATCCAAGATTTATTTTCTTTACATAAATATAATTGAGAGAAGAGACCAGTCAAATTAAGGAATGTGTATTTTGTTTAATGTGTACAGAAAGAAAGCAGTTGGCCAGCCAACCAGCCACCCATTCTTTTCTTTGACTCCAAATGTAGAAAAAACGAAAGAATATTAAGCAAATCTGAAATTTAAAAAGAAAAAGACAATTCTGGTATAAAATCTCATTATATAATTTGTTTACTTGCACGGTATAAAAGACGGACACAAATGGTAGCAACTTCAATGCCCTTAACCTCCTTGTCAAGTGTCTCTACCGCTTACCTTCTTCACAACCAAAACGTGTCTTTTTCTTTCTTTTAATTTTTTCCCATATATATATATGTTTGATGTTTTAACATTTCTTTAAAGCCTCTCTTCATCAATCATTAACCATAAGCAGTTGCACAGAGCCTGAAGTGTGATATCTTTTTAGTTTTCAAGAAATGGAGAAAGAGCAAATCAAGAACGAGAAACAGAGCAGTGAATATGTGGGTGTTCCAATTCATAATCAAGTAATTAAAATCAAGCAAGAATTCGAAAAGATAAAGCATCCATCGTTGAAGCAAACAGAGATGAGACGTGTTATTTGCAAGATTAGCGGAGAAAGATCTCGTTCTCCTCTGGGCTTAGCAGAGAGACCCATCTCTGTAGGCAATTAATGGTAGTTTTATAGTTATTGATGGAATATCTAGTTGTATGGTGAATTTTCTACTCTTAATTTTCAGGTTTTAGATTTTTTTTTCTTTTGTCTTGGTTTTTCATAGTTGCTCTGTTTTTTGCCTTCTTGTCCCCTGCTTTTCTACTTTGCTCTGTTTTTGAGGTTTTGGTGCAGTTGTACATATCTTTAATGAAGGAAGGAGTAGAAAATTGAGGATATGATGAAAGATTTTACCTTTTTACGTTTCTCTTTTTTTTTTTTCTATCCTTTTTGGGTTAATTTCCAATCTCCATATTAAAGAACATAATCAGAAGAATAGACCAGGCAAAAGCTCTGTTTCTTTCTCATGGAAGGAATCATAAAATATTTATTTATTTATTTATTTACTATTTAGCACCAGAAAAATCACAAGTGTATTGAGAATATCTTTTAATCATAATTGCCAATTCTTGTTCATTAGAATTCTGTATTGATATGGATTAACAAAAAAAATGATTGTAGAAGTTTTTGCCCTTTAAGATAGAGAGAGAGAGCCAGAGAGGGAATCAAGATTTGAATCTCTAACACCTGCCAATCAAGAGGCAGGTTGCAATTTCAAATGTTCAAAAAGAGAATTTTTACTGAAAAAATAAAAGAAAATTCAAAAAGTATTAGAACAATACTTTTAGTTTGAATTTTGTATAAAGAAGCAATGTAGTTGTGGCAAAATATCAGTAGTCAGCAATATATGGGCATGCTTAAATAATGATTTGGCAACGGAAGCAATTTATTTCAATTTTTGAAGTGATTCGAGATTAGCAGGTTAAACACAAAGTATCTCAGCAACTTTCCCCTGACATGAAGAAAAACGTCAATCTTTTTTTTTTTTTTTTTTATAAAGAAGCAATGTAAGTTGTGGCAAATATCAGTAGTCAGCAATATATGGCATGCTTAAAATATGATTTAGGCAAACGGGAAGCAATTTATTTCAATTTTTGAAGTGAATTTTCGAGATTATGCAGGTTAAACACAAAAGTATCTCAGGCAACTTTCCCTGACCATGAGAAAAACGTCAATCTTTTTTTTTTTTTTTTTTTATCCCTTCTTCCTTCACCATGTTTGTACTTTTGAAGTAATTATTCATATTTTTTTTTTTTTTTTTTATCCCTTCTTCTTCACCATGTTTGTACTTTGAAGTAATTATCATATGGTCTCTAGATTTTTGTCAAATATATTAGTAAAGGACAAATTTTAAAATTACTATGTTTAAACCTTACATAATTATGTTACACTATAAGGTTCAATGGTCAAATTTTGTTTTTGTTAAGTGGTTGTGAAATATCAAAATCACTGTCAAAGATAATTGCAAATGGTGCAAATTATGAAAATTAAGATCCTTACTAGTATATTTCACCAAACTATACAGACTGTGCGTTAATTTTAGGGGGTACTTCTGATATTTTACAATTAGGTCTTACTAGTGGATTTAAGCAAAATCTAGGGATCATATAACAATTAGCCCTTTTCTCTCCAACCTGAATCCTACTGGAAGTTACAACAGATTTAACTAACACTAACAAATAAATAAATATAATGCTTAACAAAAGAAACAAAAATTGCTACACAATATATCAGCAGAACGGCATGCAGATTGATGCCTTCATTTGTGTTTCAACAAGATCACTATTATGAAATTCTCATATCAATTTGGCTAACACTAGAAGTATCTGACCATTCAAAATTTTCTAAGTGAAGGGTAGCAATGGCAACAGACATGACAATATTGGAACCATAAAACCAACAAGAGTGAAACAAATCATAGTGTAAAGGACATCCCCACCATCAAACTCAACCTTGAGTTTGAGCTGTGGTCGTGTTCTTCGAAAGCAGTGACTTTACCCTCCTGGTGAGATCTCTCATTGTATCTATAATTACAGATTTCTTCTGGATTCTGAATTGGATGGCCAATTCAGTTGAAGCTGAAACACCCTGTTTCAATAGAGACTCATCATCCATTATTTTGGTAGGGAAGTGTTCCAATGCAATCACACAAAGTGCAATAATGGTACGAAATGCAGCTATTTCATTTGCAATTCCTAGAGGAGCATTGGCTGATAAGGATTTTAGTGTGTCCAAATCATGCTTTTGCACTGCTTCCTTGTCAGTTGTGAGCAGTACTCTTAGAGCTGCCAATAGGCGTCCCTCTATCAGTTCTTCACCTCCTATTGTTACCTGTTACAACAAGATAAAAGAGACAAAATATGAACATTAAAGATATTTTGGATAGTATTATCAGTATCAGTATGAATGATGGATATTACCACTACCAGCTTACTGCTCAAAGGTGATCCTAGACATGAATTATAGTTCAAGCTACTGATCATTTCAATTTCCATTTTGAAAATCTAATGAGGCAAAGGCCAGGAAGGATTAATTGTCATCAAAATACTCAACTTTGAGACAACATAAAGAGAATTATCCACTCAATAGTATAAAGAATCCTGCCTCACAACCATATGGGAAGAAATCTAATCGCTTCCCAGCCCTAAAGAGATTAATCTTTCATCCAACCATTAAACACAGAGTTGGAGGATACTTTGGGATGACAGCTTAAAGATTGCTGATTATAGTATTAAGCTGCTCAGTATAGAAAATAAATAGAAAGAAGTATGTATATATAAATATATATATTATCTGAATTTGAGAAAGCTGAGGAATAATAATTAAACCTTACTTCAACTTATATATAAACATAAAGAAGGATTTGTCACCTTATATTTATAAAATGAATAGTGAAAAACTGAAAAAGAATAGATTATTAGCAGAGTAACATATACCTTAAGGGTAGAATTTTCTCTGTCTAAGTTTAGCTGCGATAGGATCTGTTGTTGCCATGGAGCTGCTGAAGAGAAGTTAGGTGAAGCTACTCCAGCGGCCATACTTGCAGCATCTAGAAGAGCACCGTCATATTTGAGCTCAATGCAGTCATAAGGATTTGAAGGTATCACAAATCCATAATCCAATAATAAAAGATCATTGTTTAAACATCCATAATTAAGTAGTAAATGATCTTCTTCTTTAATTGGTTCTTCCGTCACAACCTGTTTGACGGAAAGCAAATGAGATGTCTCTTCTCTTCAAAAGAGAATACAATCTATCAAAGAATAGAACAAAAAGAAAACCCTGCCTTTATAAGCATTTTAGCATTCCCTGGATCTTGTTCTTGCAAAATTTTTGCATTTGGATTGAAACTATGGTTGCACATGTCAATGAGAGGAAGCATCATGGGAACATCAATATGGGTTCCATCTGGAAGCTTTTTTCCAAACAAACGGAATGCCCTAGATGAGACTGCAGACATTGCCCATCCAAGTGAGGATGCATCCACATGCTGGCCACCATAAGGGTGATCATTTGGTTTCAGATTTTCAAGAGTAAGCCTGACTTCTTTCTCAAAATCAAGAAGAAACCGGCATCTTTTATTTACCTGGTACAAGAAGACACTGTGGTTACACCCAAAGCTAACTAGAAAATCAAGTGGCTTTGGCCAAATGAAGTTGTGTAAATACTCCAACTAGCTTGCACATGAGAATTAACAATGCGACACAACCTGCAGTATTTTCAGGTAAATTCCCAACAGAATACACGTATCTTTCTTTCTTGATTGGTAATGCTACATCACTGCTTTTCATAAGACTTCATTAATAGAACTGTGCTCGATGTGTACATAACTACATATGGCTTGCAGGGTTTTCTAGTTTCTCTCAGGAATCCTTGACCACTTGGAAATTTGGTTCAGAAACATATATTGGCTTTCAAGTTAGTTTACTGATATATTACAGATTGATGAATTGCAGATGAACTTCGGAATGTATCCAGAGGAGGAGTCAGAGTTTAGGAGACCACTTATTCAGGTAACAGGTGAAAGGGGAGGAATTAAATGAAAGTCACGAGAGGGCTTTGAAGGGCAGTTCTTCTCCTATGGTTATTTATAGTCCAGTAATGGAGCCCACAAATAAATATATTCAACATAAGGGGAGGTTTTTGATCAGAGGAATGCATTCCAATAAAGGGGTTTATTTCCCATCTCCAAGGTAGATGGTATTGCTTGTAATGTCCAGAGTAGTATCAGTTGGCTTATGGGATAGCAAATACCATAGGACCTAAGGGCTAAGGATACTGGAAGAGACATTCCAGACCCTGCCAAAGAACTTAGGACTTCTGCTTTTTGGTCCACCCAGACAAGAGGCTAAAATTACTCTTTCCTGTTAGCTACCCACTTAGGAGGGTTAGGGGAGAGTTGTCTATCAAGTACAGCCTGCCCCTTATATTTTTTGCGAATAGGTTGTTTCCATGACTTATAACAAGCAAAAAAAGAAAGTTAAGAGGGAGCAGCAGAAGTTAGCAACTTTGTGAACTATATAATTAAGAGGCTGCTTAGATAGAAGTAAAGCATAGTCTCATGAAAACCCTCATTATGTTTTAGGAGCCTTGATAATTGAGATTCTGGTGTTAAACAATCTGATCAAGAGGATGCTATTTTTTTATTAAAGTCTTTATGATTGCTTGTCTTTGTTTTCGGTTAGGATAAGAATATTTTTTATTCTTACCCACCAATATAAAATCCATTTCTCTGTGCTTATTAAAGAAAAAAAAAATGAAATACCTGGTGAAGAAGAGGAGCATACTGCAAGTTCTTTATATCCTCTCCAGGAAAAAAGATCGGTACGCTGTATGTTTCAGGGAGATTGCTGATGTATGGCCACCAAAACGAACCAATCTTTGCTCTTTCTTGCAGAAGCTTGAGACCCAATTTCATTGCCCAGAGTTCCTCTGCCAAATTCTCCCACATGTCCAATTTACTCATATTCAGAAGTGTAAACAGCCTAATTTTCAACACATGAAGTTACCAACCTATATTGAGCAAAGAAAACCTACATGATGTTGATATTATACAGGAGTAGGATTTCATTCCATCATAATTCATATGACGGATATAACACTTTCCATTAGAAAGACTGCTGTAAATATAAACCAATTTATTTGGTGTATCAAAACAAGTCCCAAGGAAAAAGAAAGATAACAAAGCAAAAAAAAAATGGTTCACAAGCCTATCACTTATGATTTAACCGCTATCCAAGTTGAACATGCCATCGCACGCACGCATGCACGAGAAAAAAGATTGAGATAGAAGTACACCAACTTTATGAAATAGATCAGAAACAAAATGGGTAGTATGGGTGTAAGCAAGATTTCTTGGCAAAAGATCTTTTTGTCTTAATTCTCCAAAAACTCCAAGGATATGAATTTCATTTATAGTATTCTTTATGACTAGTTTCAACTTTCAAATCAGCTGATGTATATGGCATATGAATAATCTTACGGAGGTGAACTCCAAAAAATAGTTAATGGCCATAGAGTGGCAAATGGTACTAAACAAACCATACGAGCATCTCAGTCACATGAATTAACCCAGCAGAGACACTAGAGTGTAAATATTATGGCTTCACATATTACATGAGATTCTAAAGAGCTGAGCCAATTAAAATTGCTGCAAGAAATCTCCTATCTGAGTAACTATTTACTTGCACTTTCTTTGTCATCAGTAAAGAATTTGAATTTTCATATAACACCATGAAAAAATAGCCAGTTCATCTCCTCAGCCATATCAAAAAACATTTGTTAATTATTGGCACCAAGATGGTATGGTAATTCTAATTCAGTGTACATCCTTACATCCCTAAATGCTAGTTTATAACCCTTAATCATTTTGTTAAGCTCAAGGAATTGACTCAGAACTCACAGAGACACGTCCTCAGTCAATCAACTGCTGCTCATTCTTTCACCAATGCACCAATGAAGCAGCTTATGATAAAATCAAGCTATTTAGCATCAGAAGAGCAGCTTGAGCATTTTAATACCACTGGACAATATAACAACTCAAACTAAGCTACAAAGCATAAGCCAAATGAATGACGTCATCCACATTTGCAAGTGGTAATAGCTAGGGACTATAATTTCTGAAACTGTATTTTACATTGATAAATATCTAAAACAAAATTCAGTATTCACCGAACTTGAGAAAAGTGAAAAATGAAATGAATTGATAAACACCTGTAAATATTACAATTAAGCAAGGTAGATTAGAAGACCTACTTAATGCAAATTCACGCGAATAATTAACATAAACTCCCCGAAGGACCAATTTGAATTCGCAATTACACAGAAGAAGAAGAAGAAGAAGAAGATATATGAATTAACCAAAACCCCATTAAAACAGAACCCACATTACACAACAAACTGAAATGCATACCAGGGACTTTTTGAGCCAAATTAACCAGCGCAGAAGTAGCCCCATCTGCAACCTCGAAATCAAGAGGCCCAAATTTCAATGGTATATGATCAGGCAATACAATAAGCTCAGACCCCTTTGGAATTGCTTGAGATGCAATCAAACCAAAACTGTTAGTTCCATCTTGCGATATCTTCACCGCCTGGTGCACGAATCCACCTTCACGACGGACCCATTTGATGAGCTCTGGTGGATGAGGGACTAAGCGCGCAGGATAAGAAGCAGTAGCCGTAGCGGCGCATGTTAGAGGACGGCAGTGGGTTAGAGAGGCTATTACCATTTTCGAGGCGGCCATTGTTGCGGCAGCCAACTGTTACAGCAAAGGCTCGCTTGTGCTCGGAAGTTTGCGGTACAGTCTCGTGCGTATAGGCAAAGGAAAGGACCAGAGACGACGTGCCGTTTATTGGGTAAAAAAAAAGCCAACTGCACAAATCTATCACTATAATTTCCGCAAAAGATTTTATAGCATCACAAATCTCAATTTTATAAATTTTAGTAATATTACATATTTTTTTTTTTACAATTATTTTACAGTGTTTGAATTTTATATGTGAAATAGTATTAATTTTTATGTGGGTAGTGTAACTTTAGAATAATAGTTTTCTTTAATTGGTCTAATTTTATAAGTTAACGTGTTCAATAAAATAATTTTTTATTTTTTTAAGTTAAAATGTTTCTGGGGCTCAAAATAACGCTCATTATTAACTTGAAGATAACTAATTGATATCTTTGGTTGGCTTGTTTGAAGGTGTGCCAAGCAAGAACCACACGATCCGATCTTTGGTGCGTGATATGAGACCGTGACATTTTTGAGGAACTCTTTTTAATAGATAAAGAATATAAAAAAAATATATAAAAGTTAAATTTATGAGTAGGAGGTAAAATATTTTTTAATATATTTTTGAGGAACTCTTTTTAATAGCTAAAAGAGAACTTTAATGTAAAAATATTAACACTTCCTTAAAAAGTAAAATTTTAAATTAATTCTTGATCTTTTTCAATAATTTTCTAAATAATTAAGATAATATTTTTTGAATCAATCAAACTTGATTTTGTTGAAAAATAAATATTTGATATATTTTTAATGATATAATATATATTTAAAATAAAAATTATCTACATGTCTCAAAATAATTAAAATAAAAATTTAATAAAAATTTGTATAGTGTAAAGGAATTTGTTATTATAAATTTATAATTTAAAAAAATTATTAAAAAGTTTTATAAAGGAAAACAAAATGGAAAAATTGAAAACAGGTTGGCATCTTGAACTTTTATAAATAAATGAATATATATAAAGAGACAGGATTACATTAAAATTTAAATGACTTAATAATCATTTATATACTTTGTAAAAAGATTTAATTTAAATATTACTTATCGATTTAATGAAATATCTTAATATAATTTGGTTTCAACATGAGAAACGAATTTTTTAATTATGTAAAAAAGATTACTTTGCAGTTTTTCATTTTTATTAATTAGTAAATAAACAATGCACAAGTTAAGAATACGACACCTTCGTACAAAATTGTAATACGTTTTGTAAAAACGTGTTGATTTTTATAATTCATACAATTTATATACATACTTTAAAATCGACAGAAGATTTCAAATAATTAGTCTACATTATGGTGATCATGAATGAAAGACCAGTACATTATTATTATTTTTTTGGCAAACAAATTAATTTAAGACGTGAAAGAAACAATTTGTCATTTACTCAAATACCTATCAAGGGTTAATATATTGTTTAGGATAAACAGAGAGAGAGAGAGAGAGAGAGAGAGAGAGAGACGTAGCCAGCCCAGCTGTCGTTTGTTCATTTCATTCAAAGACGAGTGGCTTATCATGCGGAGAAGTCCGTGTTCCTATATACAATTAAAGTTAAATTGAAGAATTTTCATTTTTATCCCCCAATAATATTTATTCGAGATGTGACACACATTTCTTTGAGAAGGCACTGCAGGGCGCAGGCAGCAATAAAATCCTCATGGGGCGTAGACTTGCTTAAATAAGCAGCAAGTCAACATTTTTGAATGCGTGTGTTTCCCGTGTGACTGGAAATTTGAAATCCATTCCCTCAAACTCCAATTTCATTGGAGTATCAATTAGACATGCTGGATTTTTTGAACAGCAAGACATTCTATTTCAGACTTCTGCTTTGATGGTTAAATTAATCGGTGTTCCTATTAACTCTCACTTGTTTTATAAAAAATTTTATAATCCAATCTGAACGCCTCGGTCAAATACTCTAAAGTCTAAATATTAATGCTACATTACTAGACTTATGTATGGTTCTGCTCAATATTAGTTATTTTAATAGTTATCAGGTGTAACGAGATTTAAATTAAAAATATATAAAGATAGTTGTTTAATTTAAATAACAACAAAAAAACACATTAACTCTTAGTTGAATTTGGAGGAAAAAAATAACCATATGATTATCAAAAGCTAAATGCCAAAACAATGTTTATAAAAAGTTTTTTGTAACGTTGCAATTAATAAAAATAAAGCTTATAAATAATAAATGCTACGCAAAAAGCTATTGCGATCCTTCATAAAACACATCATCAATTCTATTCTATGTTGTTCTTCTAATTGAAGAAAATTACAAAACACAAAATGCCTCACAGATCAAGAACAAAACACCACACCGAGTAGGGATTAGGGTTAAATTAATGGAATTTGATTTAATTACATTATATTTTATAAAATTAAATTTATAGGAGTGAAATAAATATTTATCTCAAATATGATAACAATAATATGAAATTCATTGAAAATTTTGGATTTGATAATGTTAGAAACCCAACAGCAATATTCAATTATATATATGCACAAGTTCTTAATCAAAACAAAGCAAAAAAAGGAAGACAGAAAAATAAGTGATAAAAGGGAACCTATCAGATCTTGGAAACCAGACACAACGCAGAAGCACCGCCGCAACCGCAACCGCCACCAAACAATTGATTCATCTGAGATCTTCGGTGGAGGTGTCCCATCTAGAACCGACTGTCATCATGACCTTAAACTCTTCAAAATCAATCATACCATCACCGTCACCATCAACACCACTTATCATCCTCCTGCACTCTGCAATAGAACACGACTCGCCCAAACTGCCCATCACTCTATGCAATTCTTCAGCAGAAATCGAACCATTTCCATCAATATCATAAACAGAAAACGCGTCTCTTAAATTCTCCATAGCCTCATTTGTATCCACTCCTTGCGTATTCAACTCAACGAACTCTTGAAAATCGATGAATCCATCGCCATCGGCGTCAAATTCCATTATCATCTTTCGTAGCTCTTCGTCTGTGGCTTTATGGCCAAGGCTAGCCATAATGGAGCCAAGCTCGGCGGAGGAGATCTTGCCATCACCATTTGCATCGAATTTGTTGAAAACGTGCTGTAACTCATCGGTCTGATGTTTTAACCGGAGAGATTGAGATCCCGATCTGGACAACGGATCCGGCGGAGAACCGGCGGGTGAAACGACCGAAGAATCGCTTGATTTCTTGGATTTCTTGCGGTTGAAAAGAGCTTTAAAGCCCATAATTCGAGGTGCGTTTCCAAGTAAGGAGGGAGAGATAGGGATTTATGAGAAATGGAATGATAAGTATGGAAATGGAATTACAGAAATAGCATGTTTATCTGTTGGAAGGAGGTTACAGAATGAGAGAATTTAGGCATAATTACACCACAAAAATGGAAAGGGGTTAATGGGTTGGGGCTGTACCCATCTGTTATGGTTGGTTTGGTTTTGTTTGTGGTTTGTATTTTGGGATTAAAGGTATAGTGCTGCCACGATCGGTTCGTAATCATAATAATAATTATTATAATAAATACGCATTATTGGCAAATGTCAATTTTCTTTTATTAAATTGTATTAAATGCTTTTCAAAAAAAAAATATTAAATTAAATTAGCACTGACCTTTTTAATTGCCTTTTTAGGGGAATTGGGCCTTTAGAGTTTTCATCTTTTTAGCACATGCTCCTCACTTTTTGCGTGTTCAATGCCTTCGATAGTACCTCCATGTACTATCTTACTTTACCCCTAACAGTAACATATTTATAACATGAAAATGAAACAGTACAATTTGCAAAATTAGGGATAACTACTCAATTGGTTCGGTTTCCAATTAAATTAGAGTAAATTGACAAAATTAAAGATTTTGAAAATAAAAATCAAATTAAATTGAATAATATACAGAAATTTAAATTTATTCAGATAATTTTAAATTTTTTTTTTCAATTTTAGGCTTATTTTTGCGTTCATCAAAACCAAATTGAATTGAGAAAATTTTTATTTTTTAATAAAAATCAAAATTGTATTGACGTGTCAAAAATTAGATTGAAGATAATTAAATATATTCATTTTAATCAGTTTCACCAAAAAATATTCAGCCATAAAAATATAACTCAAATGATATTTAGTGCAAAAGATGATATATATGAATAATATTACATATTTTCCAATAAAAATATTACTACTGCTGTATTATTATTATTATTGAGTGTTCCCCCGTGAATAAAGAAGTTGATGCTAAAATCCATATGTAATCCAACAATTAAAGATAATATTTTATAATAAATTCCCTCTCATTCTCTTATATCTTTATTTCTTAAATTAATAAATGGCGAAACGTCACATAGCAGTTAGCTATGTCTATAATAATGTGAATTTTTTATTTTTTTTTTTAATTTACTTGGTATATACGAATGGTCTTATACGTGTTGGAAAGTTTTATCCATAATTTATATATAAAACTATTACAATAATATGTAAAATGGTGGAAGTTAATTTACAATGAGTGCAATGAACAAAAAAAAATTTGAAGCATAAAAATTCACTGTGTAAATGGTTGAAATTTATTTATTTTTATACCGATTAAGAAAAATTAGTTAATATAATTTCAATAGTTAATTTTAACAACATTTTTCTTAACATACATTTATATTAATATTAAATGTCACCTTTAAAAATTATTAACAATAAGTATATTAAAATTAAATGGAGATATTTTACTTTTCGAAGAAATAAAAAATATATAAAAAAAAAATATAAGTAATTGGTATTTTTTTATTGATTGGAATATAGGCCGAAACCATTCAATTAGGGCACAATTGGGCGGGCCTAATGAAAAAAAAAACCCCAATTGGGCTAGCCTAAGTGAGTATGCTTGTGTGAAAGACATGTATTTTTATATTCACTATGGGCTTGCTATTACAGTTTGAAACACAAAATCTAAGCCTACTAAACTTTTGTGATTTTTAATTTTTTAAACTACTCTGATTCCAACACTTCAATTTAGAAGAGTACACATGTTGAATGCATTGGTTTATAAAATTATAATTATTAAATATTATTTAGTCATTTTTTAAATATAATACTTAAAATAATATTTTAAAGTTCAATGAATTTAATATTAAATATCAAAATTTAATCAACTTTGCTCTTATCTCCATTAACTAAAATAACTATTTTATATGATTTTCTAAAATCATGTTATTATCCTTTTTCTCTATCTTAATTTTAATAATAATATTGATGGAAAAAATTATTGAGATTGAAGTGATTGGATAAGATAAAAAATAATTTAATTAAATTATCAAATATTTTGTTAGTATAATTAAAGTGATTTAACTACTTTGTTAAACTTCATGCATAACTCTAAATAATAAATAAAAATAGATAAATGTTGGATTTGATTTTTAAAGAATTTACTCAATACTTGAAAAAATAATTAACTTAATACTTATAATATTACTTTAATAGCAGTCACATATTTAGTATGATTTAAAATTTTTAATTGGACCCTCCATTAATATTTAAAATTAGGATAACAATTTAAGTTCAACTTTTCATTAAATATTTAATAAAAAATAAAAAAACATTTAAATTAATCGATTTATGTAGCTGAAAATCAGAATATAAGTGTTTGGTAAATATTTTAGTTAAAATGATACAAGTTTTAACTAGTTACTAATTTACAATTTAAAGTTTTTTTCTACAAAATATTAGCTTATTTATTTTTAAACTATATTTGAGCTATATTAATTTTATAAAAATAATTCCTATGAAATCTTATTTTCAAATTGATATTTAAATGGTAATTATAATTAAAATGTTATTAGAGAATATATCACTAACGACTAAACTAAATAAACAATAACCGACTAAACGGGGAACCGACCCATATCCGATTAAAAAAAAAAGGGGAAACCACGCACATGTAATCAACCGCATCCACTTAATTTAATTATCAAAACGTGTTGTGCTGGACATTTATAAAAGAGCCAGTTGATTGCCGACAATGAGAGCTAGATGACAGGCAGGTTATTATAGTAAGTCTGTTGACCTTAAAAAATAGAAAAAAAAAAAAAGAAAAAACTTTTACAAAATTTACGTGACTCGCCAAATAGTAAACCCCCACATGATTGCTTCAGTACAGAGTCTCCAATGGGTAACTTCAATCATATGTCCAACACCTCTTATCAATCAAAGTCACTACCACACCACCATCACTCAACGACGTTATCCTTTTCTCCGCTTCTGGGTTTTGCTGTTTTCTTGCTCATGTGGTTCTCTCTTTCTCTCTGCTGCAGAAGAAAAAAGAGCAGGAAACAGAAAGTTAGAATCTTTAAGTAAGGAATGCTTAAAAGGAATCCCTTTCTAGTCTAGAGAATTAATTATAAAGTCTCTACTTTTTCACTTCTGGTCTTTGCTTAATTGAAGAAATACAGAGAAAAAGGTTATTCATTTTCTTTATATCACTGATGTCGAAATAGACACTAGAGAGACAGAGAGAGAGAGAAGGGAGATCTGACCTTATGATGGAGACAAAATCACTGCGCTTCAGAACCCACCAATCTTTCTTTTCGGTTGTCCGATCAGGCGACCTGGATTCTCTGAAAGAGATTGTGGAGAAGCTGACAAATGATGAGCTGTTTGATGGGTCTTCTCCGGTGTCTGATCTAATGGCTATGCAGACTGATGCAGGGGAGACTTCTCTGTTTATAGCTGCAGAGAATAACTTGGAAGAGGTTTTTAGATATTTGATCAAGTTTTGTGATGTGGAAATTGTTAAAATCAGGTCCAAGTCTGATATGGATGCCTTCCATGTTGCAGCTAAGATGGGTCACTTGGGTATGAGTCTGATTCTAATTTTGCCTTTTTTTTTGGCCTGATTCTGCTTTTTTCATTGGAATTGGCGTTTTCTTTTGTGGAATTAGTTTGATTCTTCATTTTTGTTGCGTGATTAACGATTCTACTGTTCCAACTGCTTAATCTTTCATGATAAGTTAGGTGTATGTCATCATTCTGTTTCTTAGTTTTGTTGTGCACACGTTAAGAAGAGGCTAGAAAATAGAAACTCTTCTGCTTGGTAATGGTAAACCTGCCTTATTCACTTAAAACTTAGTATGTTTATTGGAAGTTAGAGATCGGACCGACAGACATTAAGCATTTTCAAGTTTCTGAGCATTCAGTAGAAATTCAAGTCTCTACGTACGCAAATATTGCATTTGCCTAATAATCCTAGAGAGTTTATAGCCTTGTAGGATTTGCATCATAGTTGAGTTTCATTTATATGGATTGTGCTATTCAAACATTTGCATATGTTAGTGTAACTTGCTACTAGTATTTTGTAGTTCTGTTTTGTTCCTGAGAGGCTAGTTAATTTGGTATGCTGTTGGGCTGCTGGTTTTAGGTATCGTGAAGGAACTACTGAGCATTTGGCCTGAGCTTTCCAAGATATGTGATTCCTCCAACACTAGCCCACTTTATTCAGCAGCTGTCAAAGATCATTTGGAAGTGGTGAATGCAATCTTGGATGCTGATGTCAGCTCAGCAAGGATAGTGAGAAAAAATGGGAAAACTGCGTTGCACAATGCGGCTAGGTATGGCGTCGATCGGATTGTAAAAGCGCTTATTGACCGTGATCCTGGAATTGTCTGCATCAAAGATAAGAAAGGCCAAACTGCACTCCATATGGCTGCAAAGGGTCAGAGCACTTCTGCAATAGAGGATATATTATCAGCTGATTGCTCGATACTAAATGAACGTGACAAGAAGGGTAACACGGCAGTCCATATAGCCACAAGGAAATGTCGTCCACTGGTAATTTATTTTTCATTTAGAATTTAAAATGAGAATTTATTTTACAATTTTCGTCATTAATTTGTCTTCATTAGCATCATCTCACATGCAGAAGAATATAGGGGTGGTGGCTAATTTGATTTTCTTATTTTTATTAATGAGGTGGATTATTAATAATGTCATATCTCTCAGTTTCTCATTTATGGTATTAGTATTACTCTTTGTGGAGTTTCCTCCTTGATTGCTAATAATATCTCGGAGGATACCCTTATGTAGGGAAGCCAATGACTAAAGAAAAGAGAGAATCACAACTAATTTCCAATAGAAACATCATGCAAATATAGGATGTTGAGATCCTGTGAGTGGATTCTCATATTAAAATTCATAATTACAAGGAAAACTACACTGGTATAAGAGTTAAAATCATAGTAATTGCTATTCACATCTGCCTTTTTGAGCTGCTAATGTTTTTGACGGCTACTCATTGCAATAAACCTTCCAGTCTGCTACAAATCACATATTGCATGATCACCCCAATGTAACTATGGATGCTTTGCCACTACTATATGTTGATTTTTCATTCATAACTGTTGCCTGAATTAGGACAATTTTATTTCATAATGGGTTATATATGCTTCTATCTAGGCTCATGTTTATGCGTATACATATTGGATCAATAGAAGAACTCAATTAGCTAAAAAAATGTAACCGTAAAGAATATGTATAAGCAGTTGTATATATCAACTCAAATTCAATTCAACATAAACATAGTCTAACTCATTACTCAGAAATCCCTGCTGAAATGGATCTGTTACTAAGAGAATCTTCTACCACTTCAAACCTACAAGTCTAAACGTGACATTAAGGCACTACAGCAATAGAATATGCTCTTTATAACTTGACTTGCAGTGTGAAATGTAATTTTTTTTTCTCCAGTCATATCTTATATGTTGTTCAATGCTTTCCAGATTGTAAGCCTTTTGCTAAGCTATACATCTATTGATGTCAACGCCATCAATAATCAGCGTGAAACTGCAATGGATTTGGCTGATAAACTCCAATATGGAGAATCAGCATTGGAGATCAAGGAAGCTCTAACAGATGCTGGCGCCAAGCATGCTAGGTACATGGGTCAAATGGATGAAGCAATGGAACTTAAGAGGACTGTGAGTGATATAAAGCATGAGGTACACTCGCAACTCATACAAAATGAAAAAACCAATAGACGAGTTTCTGGTATTGCAAAAGAACTAAGAAAACTTCACAGAGAGGCTGTCCAAAATACGACAAACTCCGTCACTGTTGTTGCAACTCTTTTTGCCTCAATTGCTTTCTTGGCTATATTCAACTTGCCTGGGCAATATATAATGGATGGAAATGAAGTAGGAAAGGCTGAAATAGCTGACAAAGTTGGTTTCAGAGTCTTTTGCCTTCTAAATGCAACCTCTCTCTTCATATCCCTAGCTGTTGTCGTAGTTCAGATCACTTTGGTGGCCTGGGACACACGAGCTCAGAAACGGGTAGTATCTGTAGTTAACAAGCTGATGTGGGCTGCGTGTGCTTGCACTAGTGGTTCTTTTCTGTCTATAGCGTTTGTAGTAGTGGGAAAAGGCAGTTCATGGATGGCTATAACAATAACCTTAATGGGTACTCCAATTCTTGTTGGGACACTTGGAAGCATGTGTTACTTCGTTTTCCGGCAACATTTCGGAGCTTTCCGGGACTCCCAAAGGCGCATAAAAAGAGCTAGTGGAAGCAAGTCTTTCTCATGGTCTTACTCGGCAAACATATCAGACCTTGATGACTACAACTCTGATATGGAAAAGATCTATGCTTTGTAAACTAAACTATGTATTGAGCAATAAGGCAGCATGTATAGAAAAGAAAAGAAAAGAAAAATGAAAAAGAAAACGGACCTGTTGGTGGGGGGCTCTAGTTTTTGAATGGCTGGTTTTTTTCTGCTTTCAAATTGTCTTAACAGAAGGGTTGACGAATTGTGTAATTTTGTATATTTTGTAATTTTGGCTGGTATTCGAGTCTCCAGTAAAATGTGAACCGCATAGTGAAACATTACCAGTTGCACTCGCTGATACGCTGTACACTGTATTTTATAGTAGGAACCAAGTAGATAGGACTGCTGTAGCTTTCTTGATTTCTCTTCTCTTCACGTGTTCACATAAAGAGTCTACTTTCCATCTGGATACACGGACTCGATATTTGAATGGATAATAATATAATATCACTCTATATGCATGAAAAAGATAATTCGGTTAAACACAATTAAACGTTAACATCATGATATGTAGATATATTTTTATTTTGTTGAGAGTGAAATACAGTTCTAAGATTGAACAAATAAATATCACATCTAGATCCTTCTTATATTTTCATCTGAGTTTCGTCCTCCTGCCCAAAAGGTACAGACTCTTTACCATTAGTCAAAACATATTTTTTTGAAACATGTAATATAAATTAGATGTCAAAACAACAAATATGATATAAAGGGAGATGCAAAGAAATAAATGGACGATATGCTTAAATTTGGTGATAATTGATTTGTGTACATGAATTAGCTGATTCCTTATTTTATAAGGTCAACGTAACAGCTGAGGACTAGACAAAGACAAATTGCATATTCTCTAAAATATTTTGCTTTTGGCGGCCCATATGGTTTTCAATAAAAATAACAGAACCACATGGACATACTTCGTTTACAAAGAAAAAAGAATAGCTCAGGAAAAACCCAAGCTTATCTTAGTTCGAAACCCAATTTTTCGCCATTCCCAACCACCACAAATTTAACAGAACAAACTACCGATATACAATTTTACAAGTTATACCAGATCTCATCCATTTCCCAATATATGCTGAGATGTGTACAACTAGCTCCAAAACAAAAGAAAGGAGGCAGCAATGATCAAAGTTGTAACTGCCCTGGGCCTCTTCTAGATGTTCTTGAAGGAGGCCTATTCAAGTCTGATGCAGGAGGCTGCCGCCGTGGTTCTTCTGGCCTTTGTACTTCCTGCCACGTAACCGGTACTACGTCATTCAAAAATAACGCACAAACAAGCATCAAAAGTAGGGTGAATAAAAATTCAGTCAACATAGGAAATCTCACATGACAGTGCACTCTGCACTCTTCACTCAATATGGGCCAACAAAAATCATGACGCCAATTGTTAACAATCAATCACAAGAGTGCCAAAAAGAAATTCAGCGAACCTTTGACAATGAAGCAGAATTGGTGCGAGATTGCCCTTGTGTCTTTGCATGCATGCGATGCTGGCGTTGCATTTGCTCAAATTGCTGTAGCCGTGAAGCAAAATTAATTCCATTATGCAAACTAGAATTCACAACCTCCTGGTTTACATCACCATCCTCTGAGATTTGTGATCCACTTGGAACATGATTTAGAATTTGAGAGTAAGGGTTTCCTGAAGATGTCCGCTTTATTTGATCGCTGTTGAAGGAATAGGAAGGAACTGTTTTTAAACGAGTCCGTAGTATCTTAAAAGCGGCACTTTGCTGCATCCAACAATCAAATGATAATGAATATAATAAACCATAAACCAATAGATCGGACTACAATTTACTAATTCAGTTAACAATGGAATAAAAAAAAAAAAATGAAAACTCCAAACTCCTACATTTCTTTCAATTTCTCTTATTTTATATTTTAATTTTGGCACCCTGCACCCTTAGCATCTAGCTGAGATTCTCTGTTTTTCCTTTCATTTATTCTATTTCTTTCCGACTTCATACTGTTGGTGAATAAATGATGAGTGATAGAGCTTCTATCTAATGTTTAAACTGCATAATGAGAAACAGTATTCAAGAAAACTAGCATAATTAAGCCCCATCCTTCCCAGCCACAAAGATATGCATACTTAAATTTGCAACCACATTAGGCATTCAGCAGTAGCACATGCGATGCATTTGCAGAAAATCGTTGACAGAATAGAAGTTGAATGCAATTAAAATGTCATCCCAGGCATACCTGGGGAAGTAGCATCAAGAGACCATTCAAAGCTTTTAACAACCATGTATATCTTCCAGGTTCAAGAAGCTGCAAAAACCAAAAATGGCTAGGATACTCAAATATCTCCACTACACAAGGCAGGCCAATGCATCAATAAAGAATTGAATTATCGTAATCACCAAAAATACACAGGTCAGTTACGTAAAGTATGATAAGCAGCCAACTAGAATTTGGCCCAGGCAACATAAAAAACAGTCTGACAAGAATGATCATGCATCACTTAATCCTGGAGCCAACATTTTTTCCCACGTGTACAGGGATTACATTCCAAAACAAACAAGGGAAAGGCAGCAAATGCACATTTGTTGACAAAACCTTTAGCGGCCTTGCTTGGGTAACAACATCCTAACAAAAGAGAGCATCTGAAATCTCCATGGAAAGCAAGCAAGACTGTATGAATAGCTTTGTAACACAATCTCGCAAGGCATAGCCATAGAAAGATGTGCAAAAATATGATGACAAACAACAGAGAGTGCAGCCAGCAGACCAACTTTTCAATCCATGACACAGGTCATGAGATTGTGACTTGATAGCTAATTATCAAACAATAAATAAAGAAATGAAGCACTACCAAAATTTGAATATCCTTGTGTCAAATTTAATCACAATATCTCAACCAGGTAGATAGGTAAATTATAACTGAGTTTCAATTATGTACCTGCAATCTAAGGTAAGCAAAGATTGGAGTTTCTAGCAAGCGAATCAATTTATCCAGCTGGACCAAGAATTTGACATTGATATCTTCCTCTACCAGTGACTGAATTACCACACTTGCATGCTGATATGTCTGGATAACAAATGAAGACACAATTATGGACTAAAAGAATGCATGATAGAGGGAACAGCATGGTTTTGAACGTGAAAAAGTTTTAAACTCTTACCTGTGCTAACAGGCAAAGGCTTATAATTGCCATAGGCGAATGGCACCATGAAGCATACAAAGAAACAAATAAGTCTTTCCCAGCAGGATTCACAAGCGACTGCTTTAAAAGATCTCGAAGTCCAGCTAATTCAGAGGATGTAAGTAAGATCAAATTCAGAGCCTGAAAAATAAAAATTAAGCAACAAGTATGTAAAACAAACAACTAGAGTTAAAAAACGAAAATGGGAGAAGAATTATATAGAAAATCTGGCCTATATGATCTGATCAGTGCTGCTTTATGTAGGAGAACTCCTGAAGATTATTTACTTTCAGAATAATGACCAAACCTGAACCATAATAGTCGCAAAATCCAGGTCATGTTCACCCTCTAATATTGTGGAGAGTTCCCTATAGACCCTTTCAGCATCTAAGTGTTCACACAGTCTTCGGATTATCAAAGCACCACGCCTGAGAAGATATAGGAATAGTTTGCAGCAAAAGAGAATGAAATGATTGTTCAGTGTTATCCATGTAGCATACTAACAGAATCACAGAATTAAAGAAAGCAAAAGGGAGAGAATAAGAGAGATGGACTCACTTCTCCAGAAGAGAATTATCAATACGGAAAGTATGCACTAAGAAAACAACAAGTTGGCGGAAATGTTGTGGATCTCTTGCTATGCATGCATGAACCTCCAGAACAAGGAGCACCACCTGGGAAGAGATTCAGACGCGCACCAGAGACCAGTACAAGTTACTTTTCAGGTGCCACTAAAAATGTAAATTTGAATGAAACAAATTTGAACCCAAACTCGAAACTCAGACAGTTCAGAATCCAAGATTACATATTTAGTAAAAGAAGAACTAGTAGGACAAAAGCAATCACAAGCAACAGATTTTGCTATACAGAAAAAAATTAACCGAAAAATGTAAGACAATGACATATTCCAATGGTTTAGGACTAAGACACAAAAAGCACTAAAAATAGAAGGGCAACATTTCAGCATAACCTATTCTCAAAATTGAGAAAACAAAGAACCAATAATGATAATCTTGTAAGGGGGAGAATGTTACAGTCATTAATTAACATCATGACTAAACTAACAACACTTTTTACTCCAAATGAGGGAATGGATAATAATGCTGATCCAAAAAGTTACAATTGAATAAGTAAAAAAACACGACTAGAAAAGCTTATAAAGATGAAAACATGCAATCAATAATACATGATACCTGATCTGAAGGATCTGAAAGTGCCTTTAGAAGAGTATCGAATATGTCATTCAGAAAACTTAAGACCTGTTTCATATTGGAAATTACAAAATGAAACACTGTCCAAATGTCATTCAGAACTCAAAGGAAAAAAAAAAAGATCAAATATTGAATTAAAGTATAACACAAGCCCAAAGGACTCCTGCAATGAAAGTGGAGTAGGAATCTCCTATCCAGGTTAAACACAGCATCAAAAACCCTTCCCCTCGTGCTCCCTACTAAACTATCATGTTATCGTTTCATATTCCCATATCCCTGAATGCAAGTTTGCATTGATGCTTTCCTTTACCCATTGCATAGAGGATACCAGAAAATGCAGGAAAATGTGCTTTTGGAACCTTGGGACACTGGTTGAGATAGGGGGATCTTTAAGAAAACAAGAATATTAACTGGATATATAGGATTTATATATGATGCCTGATTACCTCAGCACGATGCCTGTTTAGAAGTGTTGATATCCAGTTCAATGCTTCAATTCGAGTAGCCTCCCATTCACTAGATAATTGGCTGAATGGTCAACAAGGTTAAAAAACCAACATAAGATCATTTTAAACATTAAACATTGTAGTTAGCCTAAACAAGGGACAGTTGTCACTGTTGTCACCTTCAACTGTAGCTATTCATAAGGCAAAAGTACAATGTCAAGAAACAAATTCCTAGCAACATTTTAAATCTATGGTTTTCCCTTTTTCCCCTTTTAATCACAATTTACAAAAACTACACCTTCTCGCAATGGAGAGTATTGCTCCGACATCAAATCCTTCAGCAGGATCAGCCTTGATGGCACGAAGCTCTTCGTTGGTTTCACGGGCAACCTAATCACCCAAGAGTAAAGAGGTTTAGGATGCTTAAGACAGAAATTTTTGTTCCAGAGGTTTAGAACCATAAAATCCAGCTTACCACTCTAATTTTCTCCTCTTTGTCAGATATACAGGGCAGAATGGCTCCCAAGATATCAGCATAGTAAGGAACAAGTTGGTCCCCACCAAGCTTCACAAACTCATTTATCTGCCAATTAAAAATGAAAAAAAAAAAAGTTGAAATAATTCAAATGAAGTAATAAATTGAAACCTCCATTGCATATAATAAATATTTGATTGTCCAAAGTAAATTGTAGGTTGATATTAACAATTGATTTGCAGGAAATACAATTCCTACATCCATGCAAGGAAATAACTATTTTGTGAATCGACTTACCCATGTGATAGCTGTTAACCGAGTGAATTCATCTGGAGATGCTGCCCTTTGCACCAGTATCTCAGCCATACGACCATAATCTACAGACTTCAACAGTAGTACTGCTCGAGTCAGAAAATTTCAAATGAACAAAAGATTTGTTTTTATGTCAAAATGCTAGATATCAAATTATATAATTTCTTAAGAAACAAATACACACAATATTTTCTGAGGCCAGTGAACAAGAAACACCAAACTACATTAGAGCAAACTTTGGGATTTAACACTAGCAGAAGTCTTACTGGGGAGTTCTTGATCTCTTGGAGAAACTCTGAAAGAGCCGAATCAGCTTGTTGTCTTATTTCATGGCTAGAATCACTCAACATATTAAACAAACCTGAGGATCAAATAAAAGTTCAAGAGTTCATATGCATTAAGCATCACAAAAGACACACTCTAAAGGAGCAAATCAGATTTCAGATAAGATATTTACCATCAAGAAAATCAGGAAGAAAACCCAGCATATCTATATCGGGAACGCTGTCCAACACAGTGATCCATCCAACCAAAAATTGGCGGACATAGGGATTTAGGACATTCATACGTTCTCTCAACAATGGTATAAATTCTTCAATGCTGACAGAAGAACACCATAAAAACATTAAAACACACATTGCAAAGACAGTTAACAAAAAAGTCTTGCCAATCTTGCCATAACAGTCCAATACCTGAATTGATCACTTTCAGTAACAATGTCCTGTTTCAATACAGTACAATGTGAGAACTGATTTCAAGCTTTATGAGGAATCCTATCAACAAATATAAATAACCAGCAAAATTTTTGTGAGTGGAAGCAACTAGTTACCTTTACAAGCCGATCCAAAAGATGAGCAGCACTCTGTACATTGGCATCTGAGTCTGCCGAAAGCTTACATAGCGCATCAAAAATTTTGTTAAAGAATACAATAAAATCTCCTCTTACCACCTGCACATTATTAAAATATGCCACAGTAAGAACCTAAAAATCTAGAGAACAAAAAGTTAAAAACAAAAAATACAAATGAGTTTGATTCTAACCTTTGCAATGTTGTACAGGGCTTCACAAGCATAATAACGAACTCTGCTATCTTGGTCAGAAAAAGAATGAAGCACAGGTGGCACAATTTGCTGGTGAGATACAATGAAAACAACAGATAAAAAGAGGAAAACATCTCAGCAATAATCATTACAAATTATAACAGCACGTACATCTCAAACAAAATCGCATTTGCTCAAGAGTACATTAACCCCCATCTAACAATATCTTCCAAATCTTTTTCATATTCTCTCTTAGGAGCACATGTTATGTATCCTTATTTGACTAATACACACACACACACACACACACACACACACACACACACACGTTATAAAATGGTAATGATAATGATAATTATACTTCTTTTACTTCTAGATAATATTTTCATTAGAAACTATTTAAAAGTTTACCTGGTTTAATGCAATATTAACTTTTGTGATCTGTTACAAAATAATCATACTAGCAAAAAAAAAAAAAAAAAAAAATTTGTGAGATGGAAGCAAAACTAGTTACCTTTACAAGCCCGATCAAAAGATGAGCAGCACTCTGTAACAATTGGGCATCTGAGTCTTGCCGGAGAGCTTAACATAAGGCGCATCAAAAATTGTGTTAAAAGAGATATGTCAAATAAAAGCTCTCTCTCACTTACACCCTGCAACCATTATTAAATAGCCATATGCCACAAGTAAGACCTAAATCCCTAGAGAACAAAAAAGTTAAAGAACAAAAATACAAAAATGAGTATGTGATTCTAACCTTGCAATGTTGTACACCGGGCTTCACAAAGGATAATAGACCGAAGCTCTTGCTATATCATTGGTCAGACAAGAATGAACACCAGGTGGGCCACAATATTGGTGACTGGTGAGATCATTATGAAAACAACCAGATAAGAAAGAGGAAAACAATCCTCAGCATAATCATTACAAATTATAGAAGCACGTACAGGATTCTTCAAACGAAAATCGCATTGTGCTCAATGAGTACAGTTAAGCCCTCCATCGTAACAATATCTTCAAAAATCTTTTCAATATTCTCTCTTAGCGAGCATCAATGTTCTATGTATCCTTATCTTTGACATAATACAGTCACACAGCAACACACGACACGACACACACACAAACACACACGTATCAGAGGTAATGGTAAGTGAATAATGTAAATACTTTACTTCTTTTTACTTCTAAGATAATATTTTCTTAAGAATAAACGCTATTTAAAGTTTAACCTGGTTTAATCGCAATAAGGTTAACGTTTTGTGAGTCTGTTAACAAAGAATTTAATATAGTAGCAAAAAAAGAAAAAAAAATCAAGATGCGCCTATAGATGGAGATGTTGTTTGCCTGATTGATTCAACTGAATGGATAGTGCATAATAGTTCCATAACACAGTATGGAATTTACACAGGAAGTACTTGACTTTATTAGCTCAGAATTATCATAAGGGTCTTCGCATGATGATTGTAATGCTCATAAAATCTGTTCCCATTTTGAACAAATCACACTACTGTCACAGCAACAATTGGTAGTTGGTGCTGTTATTGAGAGTCATGGTGATATTATCGTAAGCTCGAAGAAGTGTCTCAGACAAAGAATGCACCTATACTGTAAGGTTGTGTGGACGTTGAATTCAGACTGACCGAATATATTCGGTGTCGATGTGTAAGATGTGGAATAGTGCTTCGATAACTCCCTTAGAAGTTCGGTATGCGTGTAGTGAGGCTGTCGCTACCTAGAGTACCTGGTTATGCAATGTACTCGTGAGATATGTGGTGAGATAGGGTATCACATGGTACGTGAGTGCGATACTTTAAACGTAAACGAACATATATCTGAGATTGACACCATAGTAAGGAGCGTCGTGATGAGTGAGTGGAGTCAGAGCAGGAAAGAATTGCACCGGTGGAGGAGAAAGGAAACGCTAGAAGAAGAAAAAAAAAAAAAAAAAAAAGGAGAAATATTTAAATCAAGGAAAAAAAAAAAAAAAAAAAAAAAGGAGAATAATACAGACCGCAATAGATGAATTACCTCAAGATGTTGGGCTGCTTCCGTAGTCAACCCTACAGTTGCAGCTGCTAGTCCTATCAATCCACCCTACAACATAAATTCATACACAGTGCGAAAAAGAAATTTCAGAATTACGCAACAAAAGTTGTAAACATAGCATCAAATGTTCAAATTCATATCCAAATTTCAAATTAGCGATTAATCAGGGAACTCAAAATATCATTTCCGAGTCGTTTACAAACCTTACGGTGGTTAGCTTGAGGCGAGTAGGTAAAATCCGTCGTCAACAATTGGATCACCGCAGCTATCTTGTCATGATCTCCAGCAGCCGCCAGCTGCTTCACTATACCTTCAACCTACACAGAACACACAACAATATAACATAATTAAACCATTTCAAAACCCTAGAATTGAAATCCTACAAATTGGAAAAACGTATAAACCTCAAGAGCAGCATTCTTGCGCTTCTCGTAAAGCTTATCGGAGAGATTACGAAGAACGGATGCCGGAATCACGGTAAGCGCGTCGACGTTGGCCATGACAGGAGAAACACCAAAACTCCTCGCAATTCCCGTGACTCAGATTTCAATTCCTGAAAGGCAAGAAAAATCAAATTCGTTTCCTGATCTTCTCCTGTTCGAATCTAAACATTTTTCTCTTTCTTTTAGGGTTCGATAGTTTCAAAGGTCACAAGAAGAAGAAGAATTCAATGGAGGGAAATCAGATCTGGAAGAAGAGAGAAACGAACGATGGTATTGCTTTCTTTCTCTTTCTTTTTTAATCTTTTATTTGTTTAGTTTCGGAATGGAAAATGTGTTTATTTTGTTTTGTTATCCTTTCGTTTTTATTGTTTGCTTTGGTCCTTTTCGGCAAAATGAAATGAGTTTCAAAGGAGACAGTCCTCTTCTGCGTGCTTAATTACGGTCACGGAGGACGCCAACAGAGGCTAACATAACAGCTCATTTGGAGTGGGTCGGTAAATAGTTAAATCACTAATTCACCTTCAGCTTGTATGGGTAATTAATTAATTACGATTGAGTTGGTCTTCGTCCTATTATTTCCTTACAAAATATTAATAATTATGTAATTAATTTAACATGGTTAATATAAATTGGAAAAGAATGAAAATTATATATTTAATTCGAACCTTAATAACATTTTATTTTTTAAACTTTTTTATTAATTTATCCATACATTAAATAAAAATGGAAAATTTTTCTTGTAATAATACAAATTTGATTGCGAATTTGTATGAAAATGCTTTTTTCAAAGAAATATAATGTCAATGGAATTAATAATTAAAATAATTTAATATATTATTGTTTATATTATTATTATATTAATTATATTGATTAATTTTTAAATATTAATATGCGAGAGTATAAGGGGTGTAGTGTTAATATATCAGCTCATTGATTGTCAGCAATTCATTCAGAGCTTGAGTACGGATGGGAGTAGAAGATGTTATGGTAACTCTACGATTTGGAAGTTCGGGTTCGTTTGCAGAGGTCACGAGTGGAGTATATTCGCTGACGAAATAGTTGAATAGATATATGTATTAATTTAACAATAGTCGGTGTTGCAGTGTCGTAGAGCGTACCGATGAGTCATGGTTAAGTGATAATATGGAGATAAGAACAGGAAAGTCATATAAATAGTTTAATTCGAACCTTCAATAAGCATTTCTGTAGTGCGTTTTTGTTACCAGGAGAGACTGAGTGATGGTTTTAGTTATATTTTTATTCGCGCTTCATACAGGTGTGAATAGAAAATTGGGGTGTGAGATAAGATGAGGCTTTTTTGTATGAAGAGTGAGTGCAGTAGCGAGTGGAATGTTGATCATGGTGCGGAGTAATTTGTAATAGAAAAGCTCGGCTTTCTGTTTGCAAAGAAGGAATAATGAGATAAGTATGTCAGATGAGGAATAGTATAATTAAGAATATATGCTGTTAATAGAGTTGAGTAATGTGTTGTGAGGGATTAATTTGATATTAATAGTAAGTTTTAATCTGATAGTGCGTTGAAAAGGTTATATTTATTTTAAATGATTAATGTATTTTTTTCGTTTATCTTATTTATATGATCTTATAGCAGCTAAGTTTGTATAGTGTAGTATACATTTATGCCATTAGTTAATTAATGTAAGATTTTCAAAATTTAATTATATTGAAAAGTTTCAGTAGTAATTTCTGTAAATTTACATTAACCGCCATGTGTCACATTTTGAGGGAATAATCTGATTATGTGTTTTTTGGTTTTTGTTTTTTTTTTTTTTGAGCAGGAAAATGAATAAGGTTGAAGAGTGTGGTGTTTTTCTTAAAGAAGAAAATTATGTTCCTAGAAATAGAATTCAGATTAATGATAAGAATAAATTAAATTAAAACTGGAGATAAGAGAGAGGCTTAACGTTGTAAATCATATAAACTTGTGTATATGGTGCATCGCACTCTTGGAATTCTAAATAATCTGAGGAATGTTTTTTTTTTTTTTTTTTTTGCACGAAATGAATTAAGTTAAGAGTTGTGTTTTCTTTAAAGAAGAAAATATGTTCTAAAATAGAAATTCAGTTATGATAAAATAAAATTTATTAAAACCTGAGATAAAAGAAGGCTTAACGTTAAAATCAAATTGTTAATGTCATCTCCTTGAATCATAATTTAACAATGTTATTGTTATTGCTATTTCTATAACTCATCACCTTTCTTTATTAAAATTTCAGTTTATTTTATTTGCTATTATTATTATTATTATTATTATTATTATTATTATTATAACTCACCACCTTCTCTAACACTAAAATATCAGTTATTTTACTTGTAATTGTTCTCATAACTGTTAAGAACATTAAATTTTCAGTTTATTTGTATGAGTGCTTTGCTATTTTGATTATTGAAGTGCTGTTAAACTAGAGTAAAATTGAAGGTTTATGAAATTTATAGGCTTTTAAACTCCTAATACATACAGTTACTTTATATATGAAAATTAAGAAGGATGTTTTTGTCAATATATCTTTTTCACTCATAATAGCACTTAAAGTCAACCAACACAAAAAATAATAAATTTTTATATTGATGAAGAAATGAGCATTCCTGCAACAAAATTACATAATATATTTTTTTTTTTGAGTATTGAAGATTTGAATTTGAATTATTATCAGATTATATATATATTTATCACTAAACTATACTTTAACGTGCATAATTTCACCGTTTTGAATATCCCATAAAAGTCACTTTCTCCATAAAAGTGATTCTAATTTGATAGCAAATGACACTATCCACTAATTATTTTAATATATAGTAAATTTTTTCACATTGCTTTCAAAAATTTAATAAGATTAAGGATAAACAAGAAAGAACAAACCAGTCCCTAGAATTTATAATTAAGGTAGTCAAAGTCATTACAAAAACAAGAATACGAATAAATTATAAGAACAAAACAGTAACTCCATTATCCAAACACTATATCATTTTTGGACTCATATATATTATGATATAGTTAAGTAGTAGTGTATAATAGTATAATATAGTATATATATAGTATATATCATATATATAAGTAGGTTTCTTTTATTGTATATATTTTCTTTTTTAAAAAACAAGTACAAAGGATCAACAATGACTTAATTTTCCTAAATTATTATTAATAATTCATATAACAATAATAATAATTATAAAGTCTAAATCAATTACATTGGAATTGGATTACGTGAACATGCCAATAATATTTCTTTCACATTACCAACAAATCAATGAATAAATAATCTTATCCCAACAACAGTGGCTAAAGCAAATCAAAAGAAAGGGTTGCTAATGCCATGGTAGAAAAAAATTAGGAGGCCTTTTTCCTTTTGACCTGTAAAATGATCACTTCTTGCAATTGTTTGTGTTTAGACATGTGATTAGGTTGATTAAGACATAAATCTTCCTAGCTCATAACCCTTTGTTTGGTTTGTCAATATGATAATTTTTTTTTTTTGAAAAAATATTTAATTTCTTTCAAAAAAAAAAAAAAAAAAAAAAAAAAAAAAAAAAAAGAAAAAAATATTTTAAGTTAGTTTCATTAGGGCATGGGAAATTATGCTAAGATTAGGTGTGTTTGAGAATCCTAACAGACGTCGATGCAAGTGGACAGAAGATAAACAAGAATGGACCCATAAGAAGAAAGTGGCACATACAGTACTTTGTTATTGATGTCGAGAAGTTAAAGTATGTAGGAGGTCGGTGGTGATCAATGAAGCGGTTAGGCAGCTAGCCCTTGTTGTGCCCCATTTTAATTGTATTCCTGCTTAACAGAATAGAAAAAAAAAAGTTACAATTTGCAATTCCTGAATTCAATAGTAACTCACTGATTAAAATATATGATCGTAGTGAAAAAGGTTGCAAAAAGCTTAATAGTCGTTCAAAGTTGATAATTAACTATTGAGCGCTTGTTTGATTGTAAGAAATATTAGGTGAGGAAGTTAGAATAGTTATTCTTATGTGAAAATATTAATTTTTTGTAGATCTATAAGTGTACATTTTAATTTTATGGCAATTTCACTTTAGTTGAAAATTTTAATTACGCTAGAATAAGTTATGTTCTTGTAATATAGATTTGTTCTTGGAAATAGATGGGTAATACTTTTTTCAGAGTTATGAGAATAGACATAATATGTGGTTCTCTATCTATTGCCAATCTTCAATCATTACTTTTAGGTAAGATTTTCCATTTTCAGAGGAAACCATAATTCACAACTAAATGGGTCCGTCTTGCAGCTACCGAATTTTTATTTTTTCCAATGTTGTGTATTGTTTGTCAATCAAAGCTAAACCAAAATCGCCAGAAGGAAGAGAGAGTGACAAGGTGAGACAAGCGACATTGTGTTAAATTGGATAAGGCTCCAAAAGTTGACTCATGTGGTGAGACGAGTGGAGGTGACGAGTGTGTGTAAAATTAGTGTTGTCCAAGCTGGAAGGAAACCTGATTGGACAGATCGGATCTAGCTTTTGTGATCGGTTCCCTAAACTGTGTATGTTCGGTCAACAGGTTACACCTACTAAGTTGTGTGAAAAAAAAAAAAAAAAAAAAAAGAAAAAATATTTAATTAGTTTCAATTAGGCATGGGAATTATCTAAGATTAGTGTGTTTAGAATCTAATAACGTCATGCAGGGGACAAAGATAACAAGAAAATGGACCCATAAGAAGAAAGTGGCACAACATTACTTGTTATTATTCAGAATTTAAAGTATTGGACGGTGGTGACAATGAGCTAGGCAGCTAGCCTTTTCCATTTTATTTATTCTTTTAAAAAAATGAAAAAAAAAAAGTTACAATTTGAATTCCTAATTCAACTAGTAACTCAATGATTAAATATTTGATTCGTAGTGTAAAAAGTCAAAAAGCTTAATATCTTCAAATTATAATTAACTATTGAGCGCTTGGTTTGATTTAAGAATATTAGGTGAGAATTAGATAGTTATCTTATGTGAAAATATTAATTTTTAATTATAATTACATTTTAATTTATGCAATTTCAACTTTAGTTGAAAATTTAATTACCTAGAATAATTATATTCTGTAAATATAGATGTTCTTGAAAATAAATGATACTTTTTTTCAGAAGTTATGAGATAACAAATATTGGTTTCTCTATTCTATTGCATCTTCATCATTATTTAGTAGATTTTCCATTTTCAGAAACATAATTCAACCAACAATGCCGTCTTGCACTACCATTTTTATTTTTTCCATGTTGTTTTTGTCAATCAAAGCTAACCAAAATCGCCAGCAAAGGAGAAGTGACAAGTGACAACGACATTTTAAATTTGGATAAGGCTCCAAAGTTGACTCATTGGTAGAGCCGTGGAGGTGTACGAGGTTGTAATTAGTTCCAAGCTGGAGGAAACCTATTGGACAAATCGGATCTAGTTTTGTATCTCTAAAACTTGTATGTTCGTCAACAGTTACACCTACTAAGTTGTGGACTTCAAGGCAATAAAGGCATCCCTCATTTTCTTAATGTCAATTTCATATATCTGTGGTTCTCGATTTAAGTTACAAAACCCTCAATTGAAATTGGCAATCTTGATCTTCTTGATGTTTTTGACCTGTCTATATGTCAGAATTGCCGATGCCTAATACAAACATATCAGGTTGCATAACAATACTATTTCCTCATAAAAAGAAAGGAAAGTACCCTGAAATTTAACTGGTGCCTTAGCTTGGTGAATAAGGTGACGTTAATCCTGGGGGGAAAAGGTGCACCCGCAAAATCTCAACTGAACCTGTATTACAAATAAAAATGGGTCTGTAATTGAAAAGTTAACAATCAACACTTTTCTATGCAACCAGTTAATTTTACATTTGAGTCAGTCAGAATTCAAAGAACAATGTTACACCAACATATACTCAAACTATAAGCTTTTTATTTGCTAAAAGAAACATTTCTTACAATACAACACCAAATTAGGAACATGAAAGAATTAGAATCTATCAAAAGAAAAAGGACTCATTAAAGACTCTTCAAGTTCTCGAAATCCTCGGTAAACAGCCTCAGTCTTGCTGGTAGGGAGCGGCAACCTCCTCACCTCTGTCATGTACCTGTTATCCAAATTAATCAAGAATACAATACTTGGAGTGAGCAGCAGTTTTTTCAGCCTTGTAAAATAAGATCTTAAAGAGAACAAGAATTATAAATGGAGGATATGCATCAAATATAAGGGGCAAGAGAAATGACAAGTAGCTTAAAAGTCCACCTGTTTGCAGCACTCGTGATCTTATCGCGAATGCCTTGGTTAATGACTGTTGATTGCTCCTGTGAGAATGTTCCACCCAATATAAGGGAAGCTCCACTTGTACTTGTACCCATCCTCTGTGCAAATATGGACATTGCCCACTCTCGAAGCACCAGTAGCACTGATCGGAGAAGGCGTAACCTAAGGTTGGGAGAGGGCAGAATAGCTCCATTTGATAACAACTGATCATAAGCATTCAGTACAGGTTCAGTTGCACCCTTACAAGCAGCAAGAAGAGCTCTTGCTACATCTTCATCTCCAACAGATTCAACACCTGACTCCAGTCTCTCCTACAACAAATGATCAGTAAAACAGGGCCAAATAAATATAATAACTAAAATATATAGTTCAGTAAATAATTCTATGCAACCAGAACGAGCCAGAAACTCAAAAGTTTCAGTAAAGTAAAGAGATGGAAAAGCACATAAATATGTTGAGAATTAAAGTGTACCAGTGCAGCCTTCTCAAGGTGAAGGCATAAAGTGTCCAAAGGTAAAACAGCTCCATCTCCAGGATACATATGGGAACCAACCCTCTTCAGTAATGAACAAGCTTCAGCAATGCCACCCCTCGAAAGAGCTTGATCAATTAGTCTAGCCCAGGTTTCTCTTACAATGCTGCTATCAGTGTCACCGGAATAATTTGCAAAATAAAGCATCTCCAAACATATCTGAAAGGGTAAAACAAAAGGGAAAAATAGAAATCCCATTATAATATGAAAATATGATAACAGCATAATTAGTTAATTTAAGAATGATATTTTCATGTTAATCCAACAATATTATAGTTTCTCTACAAATCTCCATAAGGAGGAATGTTGTAATGGAAGCACTTAACTATGTGTAAAAGATAGAAGGCTTGGCCCATCTTTCCCTCTTCTATCAATTCAATTCATCCTCATTGTCATCTTATTATAAATTCTTAACATACACCAATAGAGGCAATCAAGGACATATTCTGCAGTAAATTTTTGGAAGCAAGACGAAATTGCAGACAGATGAAAAAATGAAGATCTACTATTCTGTCTTAGTTTTGTGCATTCAGAATGTTAAATCAACAGCAAGCAATTACAACATGAAACTAAGGTTCCAATTTGAACCTTCCAATTAGGTTTTCTCAGTAGATGGTTTCAGAGAGACCTAGTAAATTAATTGATGCAACAGCAGTAGCTAAGACAGAAAAAATCTACGCAATTATGAGGGCATTGCTTTCTCTACAAAACCAGTAAGAGAAATAGAGCCTTCGTCATCAGCATGATATGAGAAAGAAAAAGGCGTGATGGATGATGCTGCAGATATTAGAAGAATCCTTTGAAATCTATCATGCCCCTTGACTATTGAGCTTTATTCTCGGAACTATATTTGCAAGATCTATATCAATCTTGCTTAAGAAAATATACTCTTCCTGAAGAGAGTATAGAACTTTTTTTGATATGAAGTAGCCAGCAAAATAAGATTTCTTCATTGGCATGTTTCAACAAGTATATAATTAACCAAGCAATGAGAAGTCCCACATAATGGCTTGAAAGAGAAATAATCTGAACATTGCCAACAATTCAAGTATCAGTAAAACAGAAAAAGGAGTTAGAACTGTATCGAACAAATGATTGAAGAATCATGGAAATTATATGAGATTGGAGACAATCACAAACAGATTAAATTTTGTATTGACCGGCTGCAAAAATTCAAGTAAATCATGCAATAGTTTAGTTCCCATAATATATTCATGAAGAGGACTTTCTGATTAAGTTCAGAAAATAACAGAATCAGTAATAAAACAAAGCAGAAGACAGGCAGGCAGTAGCTTCATCTTTAGGGAGCAGGGACCTCTTAGTAACCTCAACTCAATCTAATTACGTTTGATCGTGGTGAGGTCATATCATAAAAAAATTTAAAAATTATTCTCAGCAGTCTGATTATAGCCATTAAATGATCTGACTAAAGTGAATGAGAAAATGCAAGGAACATACCTCCCAGAGTTCAAAAGGAACTGCATATTCATTATACAGTTGAGTTATGCTCTTCAAGTCCAATGATAGCTCTTTGGCTTTTTCTTGTGCAACTTTTGCATATTCTGCATTGGCATTGTTATCAGGGACTGACCCATTTTGGGCAGGCTCAGACATGCTAGATGAAGATTCTAACCTTGAAGCTATAGCCTCCAGTTCCTCTTTTATTTTTATTTGAAACCGAAGAACTGCAAGCTTCCCTTCAAGCAAATCTAGCAATCCTTCCAAGGTACCTATGCCCCTTGTGGATGCAACCAGACCACTATCACTTGCATTCTTAGCCTGTAGAACAGCATTGCTAAGATATTGGCGCCTGAAATTGACAAAATGAAATCAAATATTAGAAGTTAACTGTTCAATCAAAAAGAGGGGTTCTGAATTTGAAAAATGGAGAGTGGATGCAATCTAAGCAGGTCTGTTTGTTTCCTCTCCTAATTGGCTCCCACATTGAAAAAAAAAAAGTCAGGCTTAGTTATGCCAGGAAAAGTCCTACCCAACATCAGCCCCTAGTTTATATGCCCTCCTAAACTATTTTAAATTACCTTGAGTTTTTATGTGCAATTATTTATAAGAATATCCCATGGGATTTAGGTATAATTATAACTCAATCCATCAATCTAAGTTAATAGAGGCCACAACAGAACCAAGGGGCAACTAAGGGCACTGGCTTGACATCGAAAGAAAGGCCAACTTCTATTTCAACTGAAACTGGCCTTCCATAAGAGATTAAAAAAAAAGGTAAGGCTCTCCAACAGGCTCACAATGTATATTTTGGGTCCGTAACCCAGCAGCTGGCAGCAGCTACTATTTTCTCGTCGAGGCACAAAGTCTCATGGGGTGAATTGCATAACATAAATGTTATCAGGAAAACACGTGATTCTGAATAGTATTAGAATAATGAGAGCAACAGGGAGATAAGAAATACACAAACAGACAATTTGTGAGACTGCTGACCTCTGTTCAAGACTAGGAACATCTCTAGCATCAGTGGAGCGTCTTTCAGCCAGTCTTAATAATATGTGAGCTGCAAGCATATGCTGCCGCTTCAAGACGTAATACCGTGCCAAAAGATCAAAGTATTTTGCTTGATTAGAAGTGATGGGTGCTCCTGAATGACCAATGGAAGAAGTTGCAGATGTTACTGCAGAAACAGCTCGGATCTACAAGACAAATAACAAAAATAAAGACAATGTTAGACAAACTTTTTCCAGAAGAGCATGCAGTGTGTTCCAAATATCTACAATGTATTAAGGCCCAGAAGGGGGCCACTGCATAACATAAAACCTCCACTTTAATTAGACAGCATGTACCTCTTGTAATGGTTGACGGCCAGCATTTTGCAGAAAAGGCACTAAATCAGGACCACCATACTCCAACAGCTCATTCTCAAGGCCTAAATCAATCATACTCCGGTACAAATACTCGTGAAATAGTCTATCAGGTGATTGGACACCAAGCTGAACAATCTGGCAAATATATTTCTTTCTAGAAGCCTGATCAAGCATTGGTCGCATGGCAGCAGGCCTAACTGCAGACCCAAACTCCTTTTGTGAAGATTCACCCTTCAGAGAACATAAAGCACTAGTAATTATCTCATAGCACTGTTCACGTTGAGCAACTGCATGTTCCCTAATTGCGGAATCAATTTGGTCATTGAAAGCATCACCAGCAGGGTCAAGAGCCTGTGCCTTCTGCAGAGGCAAGTGTACCACAGCTTCATAAAATCTGCATAGAAGTTTCATCTTAAACATAAGATACAAGTTAGCGCACTGAATTTAGACCTTGACTTAATCAATACTCACCTTAAGTCCTCAAACCTTTTGCAGACAGTTCTTAGATCTGCAGACTCTGGAACTTTACTTAAAAAATTGAAGGCCTCTCTAGCAAGATTCTCCTTCTCCACAGGGTCTGAAGTTACAGCAGCTCTTTCAAGACATTCCACAGCTAAGAAAAATTTGTAATCTGATTCCTTGAAATAGCTTGGACAACCTTCTCGTAGTCTCGCACTAATATCATCTACTGTTCCTCTGCCATCAGGACCAGTATAATACTGGAGCAAGGATCGCATTTGTGATGAAGGATAGTAGTTTCAGATACAATAATACATCTAAAGATACAAAGGAAGAGCTATCTTTGCAAACTAAAAACTTTTTCAAGCACAGTAACTTCTAGCCATTTTAGTATGAACTTATTTTACCTCCATGAGTGCAGATATTAGCATTGTAGCAATGCGGTCACCTTCCTCAGAACAAACAATTTGATGAAATGTTAACTGAACCACTGCCTGCATTAAATTTGCATCAAACCCCTGAACCAAGCGCGCCAAGTGATGCTGAGAAAGAAGCTGTAGCAAAAACAAAGCTTCACCAGATCTAAGAAGCAACTGCCTGATACACTCCATTGCCCTCACCTGTTGTATAGTAGATCACTTAGCAGAAAAACAAATTATATATGCTGCTGTATGTGAATACATCAAGCGCCTACCTCCATAGCGGCCAATTCTGCAGGACTATAGGGTAATCGCTGCCTTTTATTTGATGTGCCACCAGCACTAGACTCCAAATTCCGCGAGTAAGCACCAAATAAGTTCCGCACCATACTCCTGTCACCAGTACCTAACTCTGAACCAGTGCCATACAATATAGAACCAGTCAAGTCTCCTAAACCAGCTACACAGCCATAGAGTCCCCTTCTTTGATTCCTTCTGGACCTTAAGAACTTCTCTAAGGAACGGATCTTGTTTTCAAGGACCTGCATAGCTCCAATAGAGAGTCTGCATGTGGTTACACCACTTTCAGATATGGCATCTACTGAACCTAATCCACCTTTGATGACAAAGACAGGGAGTTCCCAGAGGGGAAAAAGTAATCTTGATGCACACAAGCAAAGCCCTTCATGTGCACCTGAAAATACAGGCTCTGCCTCCTGAACAACCTGCCCCATGCTAAAACCCCCTGCTGCTGTTCTAGTGTTTGATAATGAATTGGTACCTTCAAGTTGTGGCATTCCAACAACTCTTGGGTCCTCAAATGTCTCTGCTGCCTTTTCAGCAACAACATTGCTAATAAGAGTTTCAGAATGAACTATCCTTGCAGCTAACATTAAACACATGGCAGCTGCCTCACCAGCTCCAAATCGATTGAAGAAGTCTTCCAAGATTGACCTAGGGGAGTTGGATTCAAACAGCCTTCTCAGAATGTCCACAGGCCTGTTAAAAACGACTTCCATCATACCCATAGTGCTGAAAATGACAATTCTACGTCTTGGAAGTATATGCTGGATGGAAAGGTCACCTCTAGCCCAAAGTTTTCCAGATGCCTTTTCACAGGATTCCCCTGAGCTTTCAAATCCGAAAAATTCAATTTCTGAATATAATGCCTGAACAGTGGCAGCTGTATCTGGTAAGGGTAGGACATCCGCCACAAAAAGCATTCGACCTTCAACAGGTAGGGAAGATACAATTTCTCGTAAAGCCCGAGAACTCCTTGTGCTTGTACCTAAACTACCTGAAGCAGATGACTGTGAGCTCGAGTCCCTATTCACAATGACAAGAGAAGACATGGTTGGTGGTGAGGAATCAGAAAGGACAAGAGTTCCAGCAGAAGAATATGCTGTTTCAACCTTTAATGTGAGATCCTCATTTGGAGTTCTACTGGCAAGAGATATGGCTCCAAAGGTAAGTCCACCACTGACCCCTAAGGGCGGAGAAGGCCTAGTTGTTACAACTTTTAAACAGTTTGGTCTCTGATGATTTGCATTGAATTGACCCAAACCTCCAACACCGCCATTATTGCCAGTAGATGGAGAAGTGGAAAGGTACAGCCTTCTGCCATCTGATAAAACAGCAACAAGGTGCAACCACTTGGATTCCAGTGTGGATAAAGGTGAGATGCAAACAATAGATGGCTTTGCCAATCTACTGGGGGCTCTTGCTCCTGTTGATTGTCTACCTCCATAATGTACATCCCTATGACTGAACAAATTTCTTTCTTCTGCCACTTTCTTCAGTGGACCATCTCCATTTGGTCCTAGAAGGAAAACCTGAAGTTTCGTCTCTTCAGTTCTTGCATACAAAATCTGTCTTTCATTGTCGAAAACCATTTCAACAATGGGATCAACAGCTCCAAACTTAAAAACATTTGGTACAACCCACCTGAAAATAGCAAGTATACGTAATGTTAATGTTCTGTAGATATAAGCAACATGTTTCAAAGTGAAATTTGAGATACCTGACACCCAGAATTGCGAAATTAGTAAATTTTTAAATTGAAGTACAAATGCAGTTCTTAAAATGTCTTCAACTTCCACATCGAGTTCAACTTCATCAACAAAATTGAAGTACCACCATGTAATCGCACAGAAATCAAAGTTGTCACCATAAAATAACTGACAAATGATGATACCATAAGAATCCGAAATAAAGAATGACATAAATTACCTTGATATGACACTGCCCAATCCAGCAGTGAGGCAAACCTTACGGCATCGCTTATGCCAGCCAGAACCAGTTGTGTACTGCAACTCATAAATATGGCCATCACGCCCAGCCAGGAAGATACGGCCTTTATCAGTACACGTAATACAAGTCATGGTAACTCCATCAGATGGGATTGTGTAATCAGGCAAAGGCTGTAGTGAGACCTCTGCATATGGATCAGTACCATCACCCCCTCCAGAACAGCATGCTCCCACAAGAATCAGCTGGTAACACATAAAGGTTGATCATTAGAGATAAAATCATAAATCCAAGGAATAGAATTAATTACATAAAAGGCCAGCAAGAGGAATGAAAAAGAAACACAGTAGGGAAATCCTTGATTGCTTCCTCTTTTTTTCATTTACAGATTAGCACCTTAAGCTCTATTTATAAGAACTTAAAAGCACCTGATACTATGTTGATTAAGAACCTCCCAGGAGTCACTGGGCAACCACCATCAGCTCAAAGCTGAGCCAGCCATTGCCTACCTTAGCATGGCCAGAATAGTCATCAAGCTCCAGTAGGGGATGACAATATGATTCCTTGGTAGGACACGTACAGAGTTGAAATTCCTTTCAGCTAAGAGCAAGTAGCATATTCAATAATTGATTCTCTCAGAAGAAAGAAACAAGGACAATGTTCGAAAGATGATTAATGTCAAGACAAAAACATAGAGTGATTTTAGAATTCAAAGTATCATTGAATTTCTAATTTTCAGGTGATCATTAAGCCATCATAAACTCAGTCACTTCCAAACAAGCTTATTAATTACTTTGTAAGTTATCAGACTAGTATTACAGTGATTACACAAAATACACCACAATCCCACACCATTAAATCTACAAAGCAATTTAAGTTATCCTTTAGACTTTAGGGATATCTATGAATCTAGTATCAAATCCAGATAATTCAAGTACTTCAAACTCATTTTATACTGGAATTATTAAGAAAATTGATTCCCAACAATATATCAAAGTATTAAGCTGGAGTTCAATCGACAGTTCAGTTTCTTCTCTAATTTCTCAATTCAATGTACAAATCATGCATGCATAATACGGAAATATGTTAACAGAAGAAAAACAACTCCCAACAATTGGCATGATTGG